AGGAAGGAAATAGTCAGTTAATGTGTTTTAATGTAATACTTATATTATTAGTAGTATATCATTTTGGCATATCCCTATAAATAACTCTTGTCTCTCAGCAGGGTGGCAGCGATCGCACGACGGAGGCCTTACCGAGTGGAGTATGTTCTTTCCTCTGTAAATGCTTTCCAAAACATACTGGTCTCCGTGGAGATATGTACGGGTGATGCCAAACAGTAGATAGAGTAGTCACTGTTGGGAACTAGTTTACAAAAAATAACTAGTTACTGTACTGTGTTCAGTTTTGTAGTAATTTCAGGAATGTAAAAAATTAAGTAACTCAAATTGGAGATTAAATTGAATTGCATGGATAATTCATGAAAAAAATACCATGGAAATAGTGTATATCCTAGGGGTGAACCAATTCCAAGGTGAGGATTTTTTAATACATAAAAAATCATTGTAGCTAAATGTTTGATAAAAAACATGAAGATCAACGTAATCAACACAGCATATTACTCAGGGTTTTTCCAGAGGCAAAGTTTGGGGATGTAACTCAAAGTAGTGTATCTCTGTAATATAGTCATACTACATTTACATTTCTGCAACATAGTAATTCACAGTCTATTATAATTTTGGAGAAACTTGGCGAACACTGAGAGGGATGACATGTGGAGACCATGCAGCAGACTGCAGTGGGTTTGTAATGTCAATAACGTTATTTATATATAGCTGCAATGGAGAGTGGTTTGGGCAAAATATGTTTTTCTTCCTAAGGAGGGCCTGGCAGGAAATGAGAAAGCGCTGTACTTGTACTCAAAAAACTTTAGTATCAAATACTATTTGTATATGATGCTGGTGCTAAGTTGGTGCAGCTCTGACTGCAACCCCCGGCCCAGAAATGGATTAAGGGGAAGAAGATGGATGCATGTATGTTTAATACAAATAAATATAAAACAAACAATATATACAAATACAGTTTGAAAGGAGATGGACTCCACACGTGGAAAATGGTAAATGGGACTTTTTACCTTATTTTCAGCTGCCTTCTGTTTGTGTTGTTTTAGCTGTTGCAACGCTCAAATGAGTACGTCTGTAAAAGTCTTTGTCTGTTTTGGTTGTGCCCACAGGTGGTTCCTTGCTCTGGCCAAAGGCCCGATAAGGCTCCCAGCAGCCGCCAGCACAGCTCCAGATAAAACCTGTGCCTCTTGATATTTTTGCTTCCTGCCTATTTTTAGACCCCAAACCGGAGGAGCCTGCCCAAAGTGAGGCAGTTGAAAAAATATATTCTGCTTTGTCCGTATGTGCTCTAATGATGACCAATGATCTAGATGTATTGAACACATATAGCATGATTTTATACATTTTGACAATGATATGAAAATTGATTGATTGATTTTGGTCATCACATCCACAAACATATGACATAATCTAGGTCAAACATAACATAATAATTTGTGAACGACTTTGAATTGCAATGGGCTTAAGCAGTGCTTATTTGAGCCTGTCCTGTTCTACACCGAAGGTTTAACCAGATTTTAAGCGTTATATGTGTTGTACCATATTTAACAAAGTCACTTTTCATATTCTTTAAATATTTGAAAAGAAAAGAATAGAAAAAACACTGAAAATAGTGATCTCAAATCCAGCAAGTATGTGAAATTTGTTAAAATATAAATTAATCTCTTTTTTTTGCTGTTTTAAGATGCCATTATAGGTACATGAATAACATGTACCTTTGTGACCTACTCTCTATTCTATCAATATTCAAACTTGTCCACTTGGTCTTGAATAATGAACAGCTATGAGCTTCAAAAACCAGTGGTAAAGTCAATGAGCCAAAAAAACAAAACAAAGCCGGATAAACTATCACAAGTTTGGTGAATTTAGATAAGATAAGGTAATCTGTATTTGTCCCAGAGAGGGGAAATGGTTATAATTAGAGGGATTCCAGACCCCCATTACTTAACATAAGGGTTTACAGTGTAGCAGGTGACATACCACAGACACACTGTTACCCACAGGTGCAGGGGACTGGAGCAACTTAAGAAAAGTCCTGCTGACACTGACTTAAGATGTTTGTCCATGTACATATTTGTTTGGGCTGTTGCCATAGGGATTAGCTGTATAAAATAAAACGTTAAAACAGGAAGCTGAAACCAATGTGATCATATGAGATGTTTTTTCCCACGCAGTCATAAGACATTCTATTTTGTCATCTAATGCAATGGTAACAGTTTCTCATGATTAAGTTAAATATACCCAATATGTTTTCCAGGGGAATTACCTTTGCATCAAATGTAAGTATAAAACATTCCACAAATTGTTTTATTCTTACATTTGAAGATGTAGTAAAGCTGAAGTACCAATGTTCAGTTTCAACTTCTTCGTCTTAATCTTATTTGAACACATTTGATTTGTTGCATACTGAGATCTGCTTTGCTGAGTGAGGGCTGGTACTCTCTTTTTCACGACAAAAGCTGATCTAAAGATATGACAAAGGCCAAATATATACTGTGTGTGTGAAAACTGGTAAAATAACCAAACTGTTTTGAGAGCAAAAAAGGCAAAGCACTTTTTATACACAAGTGAACTGGTGCTTAACAAAACAAGAAAAGATTAAGATTACGATTGAGAGATCCCTTGTAAAGAGATCCTTTATTCGTCCATCCGTGGGGACAAAAAGAAAAGAAAAAAACAAGGCATGAACAATCACTTTGCATTAGAAAATAATTGATATATCATTCCACGGGAAGTCAGAGCAAAGAACTAGTTACATGGATTTGATTAAACTGCTGTTTTTGGTGGTTTCAAAGTCAGGTTCTCCAGCTGAACGTTGAGTACTGTAGCCGTTACAACTGTCATTGACAAAGGTTGGTGCTATTTCCAGACAAAAACACAAACATCACCGTGGAGTAAAAACTTTATATCCTCCCACACCATTTTCACTTCATTATTTGTCTCCCTGGAAACAGAAGTTACACAATACCTTTTTGGTCACGTCGAAAATGTGTAATATTTGTGTCATGGTCCATTTTTATCTTCACATAATATTTTAGTTTAAAAATATTTTTGTGTACAAGGAAGTCTGGGCATCCCTGCTTAGATTGCTGCCGGAAACAGAAAAATCATAAGAAAAATGTATGGATGTTTTGTTTATGACTTTTGATTATTTGTGATTTGCATTTCATATAATTGCAATGTGCTGACACAAGCCAAGAGCAAGAAAACGAATTATTTAAGTAATTCAGACATATCCAAAAGTCAAGATAAAAGAAAGTTCGTCTAGTTTAGTCTGAGAATATTGTTATGAAGAGCAGTCTAAACGAAACGGAGTTCAGATCATAATTATAACCAACACAAGTTGACAGCCAAAAAATGGTCAGGGGTTTCTCAACTGATTCAGACGAATGTTGGTGTTCTGAGTCCGAATATCACATTATTTTTTTTTTTTTAAGAGTTTTTCCTTGTTGATGCAGGAGGGTCTTGTTGGACAGTTAGTGTCCAACAGAAAGGATTGGTGATGATCAGGACACTTTAGCATTCTACAACATGTATGGACATTTTCTTCTGTGTGTGCTTTATATTCTCCATGTGTTAACTGTTGATTCTCTGACCTGTGTTGGTGATTTCAATGGTTTTGTTAAGTCCTCTGAGATGACTTCTGTTGTGACCTAGGGCTATACAAGAATAAATTGTATTGTATTGTATTGTATTGTATGCATTTTGCTCTATCAGGTCAACTTTTTGAGATACAGCCATAGTGTTACGGATTATTCTGCTGATCAAATTTGATGGAGTAAATAAAAACTGAATGACTTTGGATACGTTGACTTTTATTTCTTGAGGAAAACGGAAAAAACGTCAAGGGTTTCTCAGCTGATGATCCGCAGAAATTTGTTTTTCACGCAAAATCGATTTAAAAATATTTTTCTGTAGCAAAAAGTCCTGACCTGATTGAGCAAAACCAAAGTCATTTTCGGACTCAGAGCATCAAAATTAGTCTAATTCAGCTGGAAAACCCTGGACTATTTTCAAAAAATATTTTTTTGTTACCCAGTGCAATATGTAGGGCCGGCAGACCGTGGAAGGCTTTGACAAGTCAATCTGTGCCTGAGTTTGGAGAGAATGATCTTTTAATACAGGTGTAATTGAGCTGTTTTTCTTGAGATTGAAAGCAATAAAAAAAAAAAGTGCTGTATTTCTATGTAGAACTTTATCCCCTCAAATGTCTGCCTGCTTTCACAAGTCTATTTTTAATTATAGCCTGAAGCTGATTAATGAACATAGAGTGTTGGGAGACAGACATTCCTGTGAAACACACATTTTTAGACTTGTCCTGGCATTTAGGCGTCTGCTGCCTTACATTTAGATTTCTCTATAGCCCTGAACACAAGCGGGTAATCCTCCCAGCGTGAGCCGTTCCATTTTGAACACACTCCCTCTGTTGTCATCAGACGAACGGCCACCTATTTTTGGGGAGCGACCTCTTTTTCTACTTTCACCAAGCTTTGCCATCTTTTATTCTGCTTGGTGGGAACTCAACCTACACACACTGCAGCCCCTTCAGTGGGCCAGCCAAGCCTCCAGTTTTATATAGCTGCGTGAATAAAAGCTCTTTTAGCATTTTAATGGAGTAAGTGTTCTCAAACTGCTCCTTAAAAAGAAAGTTTGCGTGGCTGGGTGTGTGAGTGAAGTGGTTTGTAGTGCAGAGACAGGGGAAGGGAGGGGAGCAGGATACAGGCCATGGAGAGCCTGTCCCCTTCAGTTTGGACTATCACACCCAAACTTCCACTTTCACTCAATCTCCCAATAGCGGCTTTCCTGTTCAGCTTTTCCCACACAAGAATATGCACTTTTTTCTCTTTTACTTTTTAAACCATTTCCCATTACCTTGTTTTCCTCTTAGAATAATAACAATCAATCAATCAATTTTTATTTATTGAGCGCCTTTCCTACACAAGGCAACACAAAGCGCCTCACAACCATAGACTGCACTCACAACCCATACCACATCAAGTATTTGTATTTGTATTTTTTTATACATTTGACTGGGGCTGTACATGTCAATGAACATAAATGGTTGGGCATATTTGTCGACAAGTCAGATTGTAGCAAAAGGCTACAATCATAAACATTAAAATGAACGTAAACAAAAATTAGAGTTAAAATGATGAACCATTTAATTTACTCTTTGACGCTTTTGAGCTGATTGGCATTTAAGAGTGCTTTTCTCTGTTGGAGCGGATCCAAAGGATTGAGTTTGACAGATATCTGTGTTTCCCTTTCACTAAAATAAATCCCCTCAGCTGAAATGTATTTATTTCAAACTGGTGGTTTTTTTAAATGGAGATGCTTGTAACTTCTATATCTTTCATTCATTTTCTTCCCCTGAATCCATTGGGTGGCAGTCAGAGCTGTACACACAGCACACAGCACCAGCCTCTCATTGATCCTCCAGTCCACAGAAGCTGAGATCTTTCACTGGGGGCTTCAGGCAAAGTGGGGGGGTTGAGTGTCTTGCCCAAAGACACAACGACAGCAGACATCAGTGGGAGTAGGTCTTCCGGTGGGCTCGAACCCATGACCTTCAGGCCCAAAGGCCGATGCTCTACCAACTGAGCCACTGTCGCCCACTCTTCCATATCTATGCGTTTCATTATAGATATATCTTCTATATCTATGAAACGCATTACTCATTCTGTAGCCATGACTATTATCAGTACATGTATCTTTTAGAACACACACTATCAGTACAGTTTGTTTCTTCTTCTCCAATCAATTTGCGTGAGATTTGTTAGGGCAGAACATTGATTAAAATGTAGGTTATGTGGAGATGGATGGTCATAAAATCCGGATGTGGAAGAAATTGGTTGAGCAGCGTTACATAACATAGACTGAGAAACCTAAACAGGACATGACCTGAAGGCTGCCCTGGGTTTGAAAACAGCACATGTGATTTAACAGTTTTTTTTTTGTTTGATTTGTAATGTGAAAAAAAAGCAAAAGAAAAAAATAAACGTTTTGGGGAGACTGTAAAAGTACATTAAAACAACAATAATAATAATTGTTGTGTTGAGGAAGCATTTGACCTGTACTTCCACTTTTTCAACTTTTAAACTTCAAAGTCAACTTTAGTCATTTGGAGAAAAATATAATTATATATTTGCTGCCCTCTTGTGGATTCATTTGGTATGCTTTCGTTGTGAAGAACCAAATATCCACTGATATAGATAAATACATGTTGGGCTGGGTAAAGAAGTAAAAAAGTGTAAGTAAAAATAACTTTACTGTCCCTTGTTTTCATGAATTTTTTAAACTCTATTACATCTTTATATGAACAGACTGAAGAGTGAAAAGGAGAGGACCGCCCTCACTCAGCCAATCAGCTGTGAAGCTCAAAGCATAATCAAATATTAACTCACAGGGCTCTTTCTTACAGGTATGCAGAAAATAACATGTTTTATATAATACGATGAAGACAGCTTTTTGTAGTCTATTCTGCATCTTTATTACTTATGTAGGAATAAAATAAGTTAGGTACCCCCTCTTTAATCGAGTAGCTTATAGTTGAGTTGCTAAACAATGCAACAATGTCTTTCAATCACCCTTGTGCAGCTTGGATATTTCAATTAATTCTCCCAAAATACTCATCCAACTTGTATTTGGGCTATTTACTTATTTTATATGCATTTGTATTTTATTTGACTTAATTTCATTATGTTTCAACAGCTCCCTCGCGTGTCTGGGTGGAGCATTACATCCACGCATGACGCTTCTGTTGTGGGCGGGCCAGTGGGCGGAGCTTCGCCTCAGCACTTTCTTCACAGGTAGAGTTTTACACAGACCCCAGAGCACGAGGAGGGTCAGATCTCTGCAGTTGTGCCACAATCAAAACCAATGAAATGTAGAATTGTGAAGCAGACAGGGCAAATGTGACTGTGCACCATGAGGAGTTTTGGGACACATGTTTTAATATTGGTGATTATTCTGGGCAAAGTCAATGGAGGTAAGTGGATGCTCCATTCTGTTTTCAGCAGTCCATGATGATGATGAACACAACTAATTATACTGATTTCAACGGCATTTGTAAAATATTCTGTTACCATTATTTCAGCCCTCTTGAATAATAATAGTATTTAAAAAAGTGTAATTAATCTTCAATCCAGGCTAATTACGATGGAATAGGCAAATGGCACAATGATGGAGTACATTTATTAGCATACTTATAGTTACTTATTTTGGCCTCTGTCAAATCTGAAACCACTTCTCACCCCAGGTTTGTTTGCAGGTATTTCATAGGTTATAGTTTTATTGATGAAACAAATCTGCAATGTTTTATCAAGCTGTAAATTGCAAACAATACAGTACTGATGAATATTGTGTTGATATGTTTTGAATTAACAGCAGAGGTGTCTGTGACTGTAGGAAGATTACTTTATTAATCCAATGTTCAGTGCGTCCATAGAGACAGATTATGTATAGACTAATCATGCAGAGGCATGCTGGGAGAAGCTGCTGACTGGATACTTACCTTTGCTAAATAAGACATTCATTTGAAGATGCATGTGCATTGTGGCAAAATATAATGAAACAGAAGAGATATTGTGATAGTCATAAAGTAATAAACAAAATATTTTTAATTTTTGATTGTCATATAATATTTACCAATGCGCCAAATGACTATAGAGGAGACATTATCATATAGTCACAACTGTGCACTTTGCATTACCTCCTGGGTATAATAAACAACTATTACTTAAAAATATGTGTTGTTTTGGGGCTCCAAGATTTATCAAAATAAAATTGCAATGTGAATTGTTTTATTCGCTGAAAAAATACCAACATTAAAAACAAAATCCCTCCTCTGCAGACATGTTGCAAAACCTACATTCACATTGTTAAGTTATTTGATGGGGCCTAATTAACACCAGTGACGTCCAGCAGAATGCATTAGCTTTCACCCATTGACTTCAGATGTGAGGTCTAAAGGACATTGCTGACCCTACATCGACCACAACGTCAATATCTTTGAATGGAGCGTTTTAGAGTTTTCCGGACAGTTCCACACACACTAAACAGTACCATTCATTTGCCTAAAAGCTCTGTCCAATAATTTCTGCAAATGCATTTTATTTGTTAATGCATGTACAGATAAAGGAGCTTATCCATATTAGAATGACAAGAATCACTGCTATTGCAATGAAAGAACAAAAAAGAACCTTGTGATTGTGCCGAGATATAACTGAGAATATGTTGTTGGCTCTTACTTACTGTATATCTGTACTCACGGTGACACAGTGACAACATGAAGGTTGTGGGTTCAATCCTGTGTAGAGTCTGTAGACGCTAGCCTTTCTGTGTGTGGTTTGTATGTCTCCTGGGGTGGCTGAGTGGATAGCATTCTGGCTTCTCAGCAAGTATGTCCTAGGTTCTTATCCCGGTCGGAACATGGCCTTTCTGAGTGGAGTTTGCACGTTCTCCCTGTATCTGCGTAGGTTTCCTCCGGGTGCTCCGGTTTCCCCTACCATTAAAAACATGCACAATATGTATAAATGTAGATGAGAGAGTGAATGGATGGTGTTGATTGGGGGCTTTGATGCGCCAGTGTTTTCGGCGACTCGCTTCCGTCATCACCGTGTATGGAATGATTGGAACAATATCTGAACTCTGAACATTGTATAGTGCTTTGGGGGACCTTGGTCTGTAAAATGAGCTATTTAAATATACATTACTTACTTACTTACTTACTTACTTGGGTGGATTTCCTGCAGGTGCTCCAGTTTCCCCCAGAACCAAAAATATGCAACAGTATGAATGAAAGATGAGTGGGTGATGAATGATGTTGTTGGTCGGAGGGGCCGATGGGACAGACTGGCACATACTGTAGATCACAGGTGTCAAAGTCAAGGCCCGCGGGCCAAATCCGGCCCGCAAATGAATTTTACATGGCCCGTTGCCTGCCATTGACGCACTATTACGTCAATTGCGTTTTCCGCTATTTTCATGTTCCCAGATGTCTATTATATATAATATGTTTGGGGATAAGCTTGAGAGCATATTGAATCGAGCCAGCAGGTGGCAGCAGCGCTCTCTGAATGGTTTGAAAACAGCTAGATGCACTTGTTGTGCCTCTTTTTCTCAGCTTTTTGGTCATTTCAGTAAAACTTCCCTCTACTCAACTGGGAATTACAAGCTAGAAACAAAATTATTTTTGCTGATGAAAGTAGACAGTCTATTCTTTCAGAATCTGGTTTCGGATTTCAGATAGTCATAGTACACAATGTTCTGTGGGTCTTGAAAAATCTATAAAAATCATCAGAAACTGCTGGCAATATGGGAGTACCTGTTCTGAAATAGGCTGGCAGGCAATGAGTTAATAAACATTGAACCAGTCCGGCCCTCGGCTCGCAGCAAATTTGCTTTTTTGGCCCTCTGATGTATTTGACTTTGACATGCCTGCTGTAGATAGTGACTTCAGTGTAGCACTTTACAAAAATATAATGTTCTGTGCAGGTGGAATGAATCATTATCATGGAATTATGCAATTTTTTTAGGTGATATTTCCTTTGGCCATGGACATAAATCATTCTCATTCATAGTGCCATTTTATTATGAAGGATAAATTATTTAATTATGATGATAAATAATTACTTGATCTTACAGCTACTTGTTTTTCTATGTGTAATATTAGTTGTCTCATTTGTAAACTTTCTGAATGTATGATATATACAAACACAACCCATACGTACATTAATTAGATGTAACAGCACTTTTGTCTGTATATGTGTAGTGTCATTCTACGGCGATGGCTACATCCACCTGCGCACAGTGGAGTCCTCTGTTCAGACTTCGGTCCACATCAGGTTCAGGACTAGCGCCCCTTCAGGACTGCTTTTTGTGGCAGCGGGGGACAGGGACTTTCTACTGGTGGAGCTCATCTCGGGGCACCTGCAGGTATGTCATGAATCAGTTAATTTTGGAGAAAAACAGACACAAATAGCCTGCCTTCAAGAGGGAGTCTGCTTTACTTGTGGGTCATCGTCATGGCCATACACCCACAGGTGAAGGGGCTTTCCCAGGCTTGTATGCCAACCCTGATCCCAAATCCCCAGAAGACCCATACCTCGAGATACTAATGTTACAAGCAACACACAGAAAACATGCTTAAAAATAAGACATAAATAATACAATTAGTCATCAGAACTTTAAAAGTCCTGTATTTCGCTTTTCTTAATTTGGCCTCTCATGGATGTCCACAGTCCATCCTAAGCGGTGAGATAATAGTTTCAGCAGAATAACAGCAAGAAGCAAACACAGACTGTGGTAGCGGGTCCACACGCTGGGAAAGGCTGTGCATGCTGATTGGCTATTTTGGTTTCTCTCTCCTGTCAATCGGCATCATTTGGTTCAAAAAAGTTATAAAAACTGAAAAATAGATATGAAGGTATGAATTGAAATAAATCTTAATGAAAATGTAATATACAATAGACAAATACATAAATACAATATACATACAATAGACATTTAACAGTACAGATTCTTGATAAAAGACCAAAAAAGAGCTAACCACATGATCGTCTGCGGCGTCATCATCATGCACCAAAGTGAGGTGAAAAAACAACACAAAGTATTTTGTTCCAGCAATAAGGCCATTCAATAAGGTGCTTTTATTATCAGTTATATATATATATATATATATGAGCATTTGGAAATCCCAATGTTGATATAAAATCAAACCATTTTATTCTTGCACAGCTCTGAATCAACAATTCCAAATAAGGAAGAGTGTATTGGTGTCAATGACATCAGTAAAAAAAAGATTATTTTTTGGATTATGATCAATGGTCCTCAGGTCCAGTGATGCTCATATCTGAAGTTATTTACTGCTGTGAGCAGGGCCAGCGGGGGTCGCATGCACTCGTGGAGGTGTCAAGTAGCTTACAGAGAAGAAAAAGAAGCCCTGTGGCATCGAGTTCAGCCCCAGAACAAGTTTCTTCATGACTTTTAAGCTTAAAGAGGCTGACAACAGCTCACGTTCAGCACTTTTCGATGCAGTTACGTTTTGATTTGTGGCTTCTAGAAAGTCGCCAGGTGCAAGGAAACTGGAGTGAACATAGGACTTATTGAAAGCCTGCACAATTACGCCACACTGCATTCAACAAGACGCTTTGACTACTAATGGATCTTCTCATCCTAATTGTGAAAAATCTTTTCTTCTGACAAACAAAATCACTTAAAAATATGGTATAATAAAATTCCACTCTATTATCTCAATTACTCACCAACTACTCTTGGGGCTTTCAAACTGATCTACATCGATTTGTACTGTAAAATGGAATAATATAATGCCAAAGACAATACTTTACAAACATACATAACTAACATACTAGCTAACATAACATATTTTAAAGTATTATTACATAGGTTTTTTTATAATAACTTATTTCAGTGATGCTTTTCCTCATTTAAACAATAATTGTCAAACAATGATTTCCCTTTAGTATTTTGTTTTTAAACCTTTTTTAAAACAGTGAAATTAATACTTTGACTTTCTTAACTTATTTTAGTTATAGAATGTCTTTTAGCATGTGTTGTATTTTAGAGTCTGTATAGTCCAACTAACTATATTGCTAATTATCTAAATACATTTGTGCTTAACTAAATTAGTTTACTAATAATAACATGATTGACTTCCTGCCAAGTGTTTAGAGCTGTCCTCTGGAGCTTCCTAATTGGTCAAACTTAAGTCAAATCCTTGAGGCCCCTTTTCATTGGTTAAACTATCGTCCTCCAGCGTATCTTACTGGTTGCAGTTATGCCAATTGGTTTAAGTTTGAATATATTCTTGTTAAGTCTCATGGTCAGAAATATACATTCTTTTAAACATGAAATGCAATCAAACTTTCTGACATCACCTTTAAATCAACAACACTAACTGCCATTTTGTGTTACACACCACAAGCTATGCAAATCTATGCGTCCAATATTTCAAGAGTGAAATTCCTGAGTCTTGTCACACTTGTACTGTCTGCTCTCTTTCTCTGTCCTGTCTAGATCCGCCTTGACTTGGGTTCCGGTGAGCGCTTCATCCAGTCAGAAAAGCACCTTCACCTCAACGATCTGGCTTGGCACGCCATGCAGCTGTCCCACGACCGCCATAACCTCACTCTGACGGTGGACCGTAACTCCCACACCCATCTCCAACTGCCCGGCCCTGACCTGGAACTCAGCCTGGTCGATGGCCTGTTTGTAGGTATGGATGTGTGTCACTACGGTGAAGTGAAAGAGGACTCAAAAACGCAGGAATTCAAAAAAAATAATGCTGTAATGATGAAAGATGAAAATCCAAATGAAACACAGGAACCAAGAAATAAACAAAGACAAATGGACTAGCAACAAGGAGAGAGGAGCACATGGTACAAAAAGTCACTGGTGAAAGGCAGACAGGCGGGGCGGACAATCAACACAGGGGAACGGAGAGTCAAACTAAAACAAGACCACAGAAAAAATAGACAAGGTACAACAATAAAATCCACACCATGGCATTTTCACCATTATGACTTTCAAGAGTTACTATATATTGTGTGAGAAAAAATAGACCCACTGTGAATGTATATGGGATATTCAAGATTAAGATTAAGAGATTCTTTATTTGTGCCGCAAACGATCTTACTGTACATAAAGGGGTCCTTCTTGCAAAACATTTTTATTGTTTTGCCTTAAAGGTTTTTTATTTTACAAAACGACAACATAATATACACCTCTGAAAAGGGGTTGAATGAAACGCTTGCTAAGAAAATGTATCTTGCTTTGCTTTTTGTCATGCATTAACATTATATTGAGACTATTTAGTTTGTCATTTCATGTCTTGGAATGTGAAATAATATCTTAAGTCGAACAAATGTGCTGAAACAAGTAGGAAGTGTAAGAAATGCTCTCCTTATGTAACTCCCTATGCCACCACCAGAGGGTGTTTTTTTCCCAAGGTTGAAAATCAGCTACAATCAAAACCATAGCATTTCACCTTGGTAAAACTAATTCTTGTGCAATAATTTTGTTTCAAAAGGCATAACATGATGTGCTGTCAGAGTGTTGCAATGACATTATACTATTACAGGGCTGAGACAGGAGCTTTTAGACAGAAAGGGCGCAGTTAAAAACAACTTCAGGACTGTTTTGATGAGGGAACAATGTACATTAATCAATTAAGGATGATTTTAGTGCTTAAATATCAGTTTCCAGAGTTAAAAGACTCTCCTCTCCACAGATGTATCTTAAAACTAAGCATGAGTGAAGTAATTATGCATTTTTTCAAATATCAAATATGTCAAATATGCAGGCAAAACAACAACGATATGAACCCAAGCAAAATGCATACCCACCAAAAAACCAACAGTTATGAGAATCCACCTACTGGTTCTATCTGAAAATAAAATAAAGTTTAGGAAAAGGTTTTATCTCCTAAATCTATAATAATTTATACTTATCTGTTTGTACGATTATATTGTAACCTGATGAATCACAAATATTGATGAACTTAATAATCCTACATTTATACTTGTAGGTGACAGAGCCTGGCTGACCCACCCCTATCTCCAAAACAGCACTCTCGGATTCCGTGGGTGCATGGATGAAGTGGTTTTTAATGAGCATAACTTGCTGTCCAGCCTCAGGCCATATTCTGGCTATAAAAGCGTTTATGAGGTCTCTCTTGGATGCAGCCCGCAGTTCTCAGCCACAGACGAAGACCCTATCAGTTTCTACAGCTCCAAATCGTTCATTTCGTTTCCGACATGGGAGGTCCCGCAAGAAGGGGTGTTCCAATGCGAAATTCTCCCGTTTATGGGTGAAGCGGACGGAGTGGTCTTGTACAGCGTCGGAATTCACGGCGTATTTGTGGCCATAGAGGTCCAAAATAGTCACCTGATGGCTACGGTCGGTAAAGGAAAACGCAAAATTAAGCTGCGTTCTGTGGTGCAACTCAAAAGCAAGGTAACGTGGCATCCTGTCGAGCTACGCCTGCTTCCCCATGAAATGTATCTCAAAGTGGGCGAGGAAATAATGACGGCCAATCTTACGGTGGAGCTTCAATCCATTCAACTCAAAGGGAGCCTGTTTATCGGCGGGCTGAGCGAACAGGCCAGATCAGAGGCCAGGCGGAGTGGACTGCTATCGATTCAGCCAGAGGGTCAACTCGGCTCCTTCAAGGGGTGTCTACGAGAAATGAAAGTCAACGGGCAGAAGATGGGAATACCGCACACGACTGTTACAAAGGATGTGACTCTGGAATGCGACAGAAGAGACGTAACAGCAATGACTACGAGCCCAACGGTGGCAACGAGGATGGATGATACAACAGGGCAACCAGCGAACACCAGGAAGCACCCGCAGTTTCTGGTGTTGAAGAGACTAGAGGTGGCAGAGGGAGGACGGGCATCTCTGGAACCAAAACATATTAAGGTACGATGTATTTCAGTCAGTCACTCACTGCTCAGTTTTATGTTCAATTCAATGTGTTCTTGTATGGCCCTCAATCACAACAGTAGTTGACAGAGAACAATAATAATACACAATAGAATTCAAAATTAAAGGGTTATGCCTAGCGTACTGTACATCGGACTGGCAACTGTTTATATCCGTCGCCTATGAGTTGCTGCCCCACACACATCGACAATCTGACGAAAACGGGCAACTCCTAGTGGCAAGCCAGTCTGGGGAATAACAGCGCGTTCATCGACAGCAACTGGCCGTCAACTACAGTGTGTTTTTTCAGGCATAAACTGTAGAGGGCGCGCAATACGTCACATGATAACACTCAACACATGTTGTTGGAGCGCGCACATCAGGTGATATCTCCTAGTTACCGAAACGTAGAACACGGGCAACTGACTGAATCCAGAGATCAACTGTTTATCTCCAGTTGTAAGAGCGCTCACATCGACCGATTTTGGCAACTGATCATCTCCATCATCTACTCTCAGTTGCCAAAAGCCGCCTTGCAACTAGTTGTCTCCAGTTACTCTCTTACAACTGGAGATAAACAGTCAATCTCCGGATTCAGTCAGTTGCCCGTGTTCTACTTTTCGGCAACTAATTGTCCTCAGATCCGGAGATATCACCCGATGTGCCGCTCCTAATAGATCCATGACACGCTCCAACAACATGTGTGTATTGCGTGTGTATTGCGCCCTCTACAGTTTATGTCAGAAAACACACTGTAGTTGAGGCCAGTTGCTGTAGATGTACGCGCTGTCATTCCTGAGACTGGTCTGCTACAAGGAGTTTCCCGTTTTCACCAGATTGTCGATGTGTGCAACTCATAGGCGACAGATACTGTATAATCAGTTGCCATTCCGATGTATGCTAGGCAGATAGGGTCAAAAAAACTCAAACTAAAATTGACATAACAATTTCCTGGCTCTAAAACAGTTTGGTCAAAGATCACATGTTTTTATTTTGATGATGTTGTGGTCTAGTTTCTTGCTGAACTATTTACTTTCACCCTCTTTCCCATTTGGACTAAATCAAAAATTAGGTACCCCAATTTTGAGTACAGATTATTGTTACTGTGTACAATTTGGAGATAAGAACGAGAAAAACAAGATAACAGCCTGAAAAGAATGGGGAATGTGTAGTGCTATGTTTCAATGCATGTGATGACATACAATAGTTTTAGTTTTTTAATCCAATTTTGTACAATGGTAGGCCTAATATTACACATTTTACTCTATTTTGAAGAATATTTAGAAGTACTTTTTACATCGTGGTTCAAAGTTCATTAAAAGTATAGTCGCTCAGTTAAAGTGGTGTAAAATACATCAGAATGATTTACTGTGTTCAACGCCGGTATGTGGCCTCCCACTTCAAACATGTTTCAATTTGTGGCCCCCAGTTAATATCAACTATTATAATCATTGAATGTCTCTTCTCTATAAGATTTATTCTAATATGTCTGTAGGCTATTTTAGAGATGGACGATTTTGGGTAAATATCTACATTGCATTTTTTTGTTGTTTTTTTATTGCATTTTAAAAACACGCCAATACAACATTTCCAACCGATTTCTAGAAAAGGTCTAAATAGGTCTTCTGCTATACTGGACAGAATTTCTATGCTAATGATCATTTATACACAGAAACCCTAGTTGTAAAACATTTATAAGCATAATTATTCAAGTAAAGAAAAACTGCTTAAGGTGCATCTTTTTTATGCATTGGGCTCCATGTGTTTGCAACAGTATTTATATGTTTTGGATAACAGGTTTGCGCCATATACCAAGGCAAATTCCTGGTTGGTGACTTCCTGTTACTATAATTCTGATTCTGATGAAATGCCATGCAACTGGAATAATATAATCTAAATATAATATACCCTTCATTTCAAGGTCAACTTGAATTATCGAAAACTGCAAATCCACCCCTCCCAGCTGAGGTTCCGTGTGGAAGGGCAGCCCCTCCACGGTCACCTCCGCGTGGACCTCCTCTCCGACTCGGACACAGACGAAGATCAGGAGCTGGCTGGATCCGAGCGAGACCTGAGCTTCAGCGTGGTGGACCTCTGGCAGGGCCGCGTCATGTACGTTCACAGCGGATCCGAGGAGCCCAGCGACTTCTTCATGTTTTCAGTTTTCAGCCACGGAAAGAAAGAGCTGCCCTTCTTTCTGAAAAGCAACCGTCTGCATCGCTTCGACATCAGCATCAGTCCAGTCAATGACGCTCCGGTGCTGAGTCTGCCAGAGGGAAACATGTTTACGATGTTGGAAAACTCCACAAGACAGGTACGGGGTGTTGTAAAAGGATTTGGGAGGAGGAGAGAGAGACCTGTTTCTACATGTAGCTGTAATAACTTTTCTCTTGGGGATCCTCTCCTTGGAAATTTTAGATTACATTTTTCTGTAATGTGGGAGTACTTCTGATCAACTTTTCATGAGCCCCAGAGCAGTAAAATGACATGATCCGAGTGTTCTCAAACTGCACACACCTAGTCACCGTTACACATACTGTACTCCATCCATCCATCCATCCATCTTCTTCCCCTTAATCCATTTCTGGGTCGGGGGGTGGCAGTCAGAGCTGCACCCAGTCACAGAGCACCAGCCCCTCACTGATCCTCCTGCAAGTGGTGAGTCCACAGGAGCTGAGATCTTTCAGTTGGGGCTTCAGGCAAAGTGGGGTTAAGTGTCTTGCCCAAGGACACAACGGCAGCAGTCATCAGTGGGAGTCGTGAAGTAGGTCTTATGGTGGGCTCGAAACCACGACCTTGGCTCTACCAACTGAGCCACTGTCGCCCGTCAATCTATATCTGTACTACTGTATTTAATTTTGATATTGATTTAATTTAATATGATTTGTTGCTGGGTTGCAAAGGCTGCTGTCTTAGCAGAGACCCCATCCATGAGCAGAATAATGTTTTGTTTAAAAATTATTATTATTGTGACAACAACTTGAATCATTACGATGTTCCTGCAACGTCCCAATAGGAATACAATAATGTTTATTTTAGTCAATGTGCCTCAGACGTTATTCTTTTTGTTCACCCCATGGATCCTCGAATAGCATCTGATTTCTCATGTTTGATCCCTGTATGCTCTTGTTCCTCTTGTGATCTTAAGAATCTATAAAAAAAATTCAGAAGTTATTTTTTTCTGTAATTTAACTTGAAGTGTCAACTATGATATGAATATGAAAATACATATAGACATACAGGATGTCTTAATGTTTGTTATGATTTATTGTTATGACACTACTACAAAAAAAGCTTGATCTTCTCTCATTTTGTGTCTATCATATATTAGTATCACAAATTTGGTGGAATTATTTTCGTAAATGGACTTTAGAACAATATTCTATTCACCAGGGTAAGAATATAATCTCACCATGTTTCATTGTTGGTTTTTAGTTACTTATTAATTTAATGTTTATTTTTTTCATATACATTATGAACATTCAACCTATTATAGTTTAATTTCTAATAATTTAATTTCTAATTGATTCATGTGCAGCTCACATCAGAAGTGGTGAGAGTGACGGACCCCGACAGCGCTGCGGAGGACTTGGTGTTTAACTCACTGGCCGATATAAGAACTGAGGCGGGGCATCTGGAGCATCTGGACTATCCGGGCAGGTTAGTTCACTTTATAGTTAGTTAAGAAAGAATATGAAAGAAATTATTGTGAAGTGTATATTTGCAAAATTAGAAATTCAATAATTGTGCTTTTACAAAAGAGGGCTGGTTTTTTTCCAACTTACAAACGCACAGATAATAGTTTCACACTTAAGAACACAAACCTCTTACAGATGTTACCTTATATATTTTCAAGCTCGGCAAAACTCACTTTAACTCGCTTTAATTAATCATACAACTTTTTATGTTAAAACGTTCTGACCCAGCGGGTGTATGAGGGGTCAGCGTGGCACTTGTTGTGATATTCCTTCACTCTAGCAGTTTTTAAAACTGAACTGAAAACAGTTCTTTTTAGCTGTGCATACAAGTGAATGATTTTACATTTGTTTTTATCTTTAATCTTTTTAATGCGCTATGATTATTTATGATTATTTATGATTGTAATCCCTTGTGTGATTTTAATTTTTTACGGTTTTTAACTACTTGTGTGATTTTATATATCTTGTGCTCTTAATCTGTCTTTTTATGTTTACTTAAATTCTAATGTTTGATGATTTATGCATGATGTTATATGGGTTGTGAGGCGCTTTGCGTTGCCTTGTGTAGGAAAGGCGCTCTATAAATAAACGTTGATTGATTGATTGACAGAGGATGCTATAGAAGATTTATAAGTTTGGAAGGTTTTCTCTGCTGATGGACCCCGACACCAGAAAACCTTCAAAACAATTGACCCTGGAGCTCTGTAGACACAACCCAGATCAAAAGTATAGGAGCCAAACTGCTCACTCTTTGAGCCAAGGGTTTATTACAAGGTTTTTGCAACTTTTTCACATCAAAAGTTGCATAATCCACCTTAAATGGACTTAAACAATTCACATGACTTCGTGAACAGTCTTCATTGTGGAGCTCAGGGACCGGCCTTCTGCTGGTGATTCAGGACAGGGTGTTGGAAGGCAGCGTTTAAATTGTGAGACATGCTTATATACTCTGGAATAGTTCAAATCCAGGTTAAAAACATCTTTATAGTCACTCTTTTTAAAATACTGTGATTATCTATGATTTGTACGCCTTGTGTGATTTGGTTTCTTTTTGCACTTTGAGTTCCCTTATATACATGAACTTTGCTACACATGTAAACTTTCCTTGCCTTGCCAATAAAGGCAGTATTGGTATTGACAGAAAGCCCCAGTCTCATTTCAGTATAACATTTGAAAAATACCCGGTCACTCTTTCTGTATTTCTGTTTTATTCCGCTGGTGTTGCCAAATATATTTAACGTTTGGCCTGTAATTTACAAATGAAAGTCCTGGTTGGCAAAACACATGCTCTGTCAATCAATTATCTGACCAAAACAACTCACAGAATATAAATTAAAACAACTTAATAAATCTTTGAGATAGTTTGTTTGCACAGTTTAAACATGCCAATTAAGAGTTTGATTGGGCTCAACTCTGCCATTTTTTCCCATTTCATGTCTTCACTTTTCACACTAAAAGATTATATGACATTTAGTAAAGACTGCTGCTATACTATGGAAATGTTCATGACACAAATCCCTTCATTTTGTCCAGGCCTATTAATATATTCTCATTGCAAGACCTGGAGAGCAATAAGATCCGTTTTGTCCACACTGGGGTCTCAAACATCAGACTGCCGCTGCGAGTCAGTGACGGGGAAAAGGTGAAGTTGATGCTGAATGAAATTTTACGCAAATGTTATTACTACAAATTACCAAAATGCTAAACCAAATGTTCTCCACACAGTTCAGCAACACTGTAACTCTAAGGATAACGGCTGTACCGCTCGATTACCAACTCGTCAACAACAGCGGTTTGGAGGTGGGACAAGGCGGATCGGTCGTAATTTCAACCAATCAACTCGCGATCCGGTTGAATGTCGCCAACCAGGGACTGGACTTTCGCTATGACGTCACGGAGCTGCCTATATACGGGGAACTCCAGAGGCTTCACTCCAGCGGCGAATGGAAAACCATCACCACCTTCAGCCAAAAACTTCTCGATAAAGAACGCATTAGATATGTGAATACTTACTATGGCCTTCAGAGTCAAAACAACGCCACGGAGAGGTTTAAATGCAAAGTTAAAATTGGTTCGCATGCTACGGATGAGTTTCCGGTCTCTATAGTGGTGCATTGGATACATTTTAAAGTTACAAGAAGCAAGATGGAGCTAACGGGGATTCAAGAGGCTGTCATAACTCCCGAAGAGCTACACAGCATTTCCAAAGGAGTCAAGCTAAATGAAAGCGAGCTACATTACAGACTTTTAAGCGTTCCCAAGAGAGGACAGATACAGCTTAGCAATAACACATTACACGTAAATTCAACATTTAGTCAAAAGAATATAACGGAGGGTTTGGTGAAGTATAAACTCGTCAAACAACTGCAAGAAGATGCCAGAGATTCAGCTCGTTTTCAGCTGTTCTCGCCACAAGCCGGATCAGCGACTTTTGACCTGAGGATTAATATCAGAGCAGAGTCCACTACTGTGACCGTGCAAAACAAGGGGCTTTCCATTTCAGAAGGAGCAAGTAAAGTCATCACACAAGATCTTCTATTCACTCACGCTTCAGGTAGCAGAAACGTCGAATACAAAGTTATTACGTCACCGAAAAACGGCTATTTACGCAAAATAAATCTCTCCAACTCTACTTCCATCGACGACAATATTTTAACATTCACTAACGAAGACTTGATACAAGAAAGAATTATGTATGTGCACGATGACAGCGAAACCAAACAAGACTTTTTCACGTTTCAAATTGCGTCAAGGCCACAGAAGCATGGGAGCAAGGAGGACAAGGAGCCAGAGGAGCACAGGTTCAATATTTCGGTGCAGCTTGTGAACGACCAGAAGCCGGTCCGAGTGGTGGACAAGGTTTTCCATGTGGCGCGGGAAGGACAGAGGCTGGTAACCTTGAGCGATTTGCGCTTTCAGGACCAGGACTCGGACTTTGAGGACAGCTGGCTGGTCTACACACGGAGGGGGGTTCCCATGGGGGAGCTGGTGCAGGCCACGGACCCCAACCACAAGCTGTTCGAGTTCACACAGCGGGATCTCGAGCAGGTTAGCAGGAGATTTGAAATTGTGTCGTAAAAGAATGATCAAGTTTGCAAATTAGAATGTTTTTTTTGCTGTTGTTTACCAATGAGTGAAGATGAAGACAGAATAAATACATAAAAAATAATGTGAAATTCCCTTTATATTTAAAGGGACAGTATGTTTTATGCATCCTTAGTGGTCTAATCAAGTTGTTACAATTACAACCACACTTTTGTTGCCAGAATTTTACTGCCTGATTGATTACAGATGCAAACTATCTGCTGTAGTTTAGAGCTATAAGCGCTAAGAAATAAAAACACGTAAATCTGATAAGAGCCATAAATATAAGATAAAAAGCCAAAATCAGCTAAGTTTTACATTACAACTTGGCAAGCAAAACGAGAGAGGATTATTGGATAAATAATCAAATTTGTAGTGGTCAAAATATTACATCCTGTCCCTCTAAATACAATTTGGTCCAAAATATATCAAAAACTACTGTGAATCTATTAGGGATTTTGGTAACGCTTTATATTAAGGTGTGCTTATTAAGTATTAATAAGGTATTAATAGACATTAGCATCATGCTTATAGATTGCTTATATGTACTTATAAACATTAATAAGCTGCTCATTTCACTATTCTCTAAATTATGTTGTTCTAGTTATATGCTTTTAAGCATTTAATAAGTAATTAGTAAGATACATATTAAAGGAGGAATATGTTTATAAATATATGAATAAGCTGCCTATTAAACTATTATCGATACCATGTTAATAGGCCACTAACAATATGCCTATAAAGATATTAATAAGCTGCTTATTAATAGGCTATAGTGGTAATAGGCCACTAAAATATGCGTTAATAAACTGATTATTACACTATTTTGCAGTACCCTAATCTAAAGCGAGGAGCATTTTTGTTAATGCAGAATAAAACACAACAATGATCTAAGATGTTTTTATTTATTCAAACAGCAACAATTACAGTCTAAATGAAAAAAAAAAATCAAAATGAAGTTTGTGCCAAAAGTTTGTTAGTAACTTCAAGGAGCCATGATGAACCCACTCATGCTCGACCTGCTCTGTTCATGAATTTGGCTTTGGCAAAACAGTGAATCAACTGACTTCACGAGCCTGAGAGATTAGCGGAACTCGCCTATTTTTGGGCATCGTCTGGTCCTCTCTGTTCTGCGCAGTGGACGAGCTCCCATGATGCTTTGCGCCAAATACGCGTGCGTGGCTGTCATGCACGTGCACATAGGGGCCGTGCTCTGACCAATCAGAGCTGCTGATCAGAGCGAGAGTTAGAGCGGGAGTAAGAGCCAGACAAGTAGAGTTTGTGGCAGTAAAGTGTGGATTTAAAGAAAACTGAAGGATTTAAGAAGAAAAAAAGTTCAGGATGACAAGGGACACTAAAATCCCAACAAAATGCGACCTTTATGAAAGCTGTAGGTTCTCTGTCAGCTGAGGTCGAGCTGTTTTAGTTTACATTGAGTTCTATGGGGACAATTTCTGGGTAGCCCTCGTGAATTTAGTCTGCAGTACCACGAGAATCCCCCGAACTACAAGCTAGTAATACCCTATCCAGTTATTATAATAGATCCATGTATACAACGCACCTGTGGCACAACCATGGAACTATAATAATAACTGGATAGTGTATTCCTATCTTAGAGCTCTCCCACCCATGGACACAGGGGGCGCTGTGGTACTGCAGACTAAATTCACGAGGGCTACCCAGAAAAAGTCCCATAGAACTCAATGTAAATTAAAACAGCTCGACCTCAGCTGACAGAGAACCTGACAGAGAACCCACAGCTTTCATAAAGTTTGGATTTTCTGGGAATTTTAGTGTCCCTTGTCATCCTGAACTTTTTTTCTTCTTAAATCCTTCAGTTTTCTTTAAAGTGGTTCTCACCCCCGCTCCTCGGAGCTTACGTCACTCACATTTCCTATTCAAATCTTCCTCTAAATGGGCGTAGCCTGGAGGACTAAAGGGGGCGTGAACGAGACTGGGCCGTTTATATAGCTCTGGGCGGGGGGCTGCTGACGTCAGGTCTTGCTTCAGACGTCAGGTCTCAGGCGCCAGATTAAAAATTCAAATGTAGTAATACAGGTCGCCAGCAGATGGCGCCTCACAGATGGTTTTAGGCAGAACTAATTTGCACCAAAGTGACAAAATTATGACCAGGATATGTAGACAACACTATTGGACACTCATTTATACCGTTTATAAGCAAAAAAAAGTGGATTTGAGGGTGAGTTGTCCTTTAAATCCACATTTCACTGCCACAAACTCTACTCGTCTGGCTCTTACTCCCGCTCTAACTCTCGCTCTGATCAGCAGCTCTGATTGGTCAGAGCACGGCCCCTATGTGCACGTGCATGACAGCCACGCACGCGTATTTGGCGCAAAGCATCATGGGAGCTCGTCCACTGCGCAGAACAGAGAGGACCAGACGATGCCCAAAAATAGGCGAGTTCCGCTAATCTCTCAGGCTCGTGAAGTCAGCTGATTCACTGTTTTGCCAAAGCCAAATTCATGAACAGAGCAGGTCGAGCATGAGTGGGTTCATCATGGCTCCTTGAAGTTACTAACAAACTTTTGGCACAAACTTCATTTTGATTTTTTTTTTTCATTTAGACTGTAATTGTTGCTGTTTGAATAAATAAAAACATCTTAGATCATTGTTGTGTTTTTTTCTGCATTAACAAAAATGCTCCTCGCTTTAGATTAGGGTACTGCAAAATAGTGTAATAAGCAGTTTATTAACGCATATTTTAGTGGCCTATTACCACTATTACCTATTAATAAGCAGCTTATTAATATCTTTATAGGCATATTGTTAGTGGCCTATTAACATGGTATCGATAATAGTTTAATAGGCAGCTTATTCATATATTTATAAATATATAAATGTATCTTACTAATTACTTATTAAATGCTTAAAAGCATATAACTAGAACAACATAATTTAGAGAATAGTGAAATGAGCAGCTTATTTATATGTTTATAAATACATATAAGCAATCTATAAGCATGATGCTAATGTCTATTAATACCTTATTAATACTTAATAAGCACACCTTAATATAAAGCGTTACCGGGATTTTATATTCAAATATATTCTAGTGTCTAATATATTAAAATGATGCTTTTTATGGTTTATTTTCCAACATCAGAACACATACAAACCAAGGCCCAGGACATAAAAAACAGGAAAGGACGCTGCACCAACAACAAAAATAAAAATAAAACCCCATAAATGATTACTTCTTGAAGCCTATCCACAGCACTGCTTCAGAGGCTGATGGTCGCCCCTTTAATGCTGAGGATACACGCTGTTTAAAAGCAATCCATGTTTAATACTGTTTGTAAAATGCATCCGGTTAAAACTTCTCTCTATTGTTTGTTTTCCCAGAATAAGGTCTTATTTATCCACAGAGGAGTGAGTTCTGGACGCTTCGTGTTGTTTGTCAGCGATGGGAAACACTACGTCTCTACGCTGCTGGAGGTAATGATAAACGTTAGAAACTTATATCAATATTAAAGTGAAGGTCTGTTACTTTTGCCGGGGAGAGGTTTTTCCAGTTACAGCCCCACATATGGTTGAACTAAATAAAATCAAATTAATGATAGATAGACGAGGCCCCTCACCTTTGGTCCTCCAGTGACAGGTGATGCTTATTCCAAGGGGAGGGACTGCTTTATCTATATTTATTACGGCTGGGACTCGATTAAAAAAAATAATCTAATTAATTAGAGGCTTTATGATTTAATCGCAATTAATCGCATTTTAATCGCATATAAATATTTGCCCTGAAAACAGTGAGAAGTAATTTTTTTTCACATGGATTTTTAGTTTACCATTGATTGAATTTTAGCTTAAGCGACACATGTTCATTGAGGATGATAAGGGGATCAGACGGACTTCTTTCCCATCAAATAACGTATCTGTTATCGCCTCCACACACTCTGTCCACAACACACACCTCTGTCGCTGCTCCTCCTCCTCACACACCGTAGCTCCACACACAGCGCTCTTTCCCGTCTCTAACTCACTCAGATTTAGACACCGCTAAAGTTGGTCTATGCTTGTTATAATGTACTTTTGAACAAGAAAAGTCACGGAGCTCCAGTTGGTGCTCCAGCACAATCGGCCCGCCTGAAACTCATCCAGTGAGCAACGTTCCGCGGTGGAAATAATACATGCGATTAAAATGTGTCAATTTTTTTAACGTGCTAATTTTTGTGGGGTTTATTAAAAGCGTTAATGTCCCGCCCCTAATATTTATATAAATAATTGCAATCTCCCTGTGTTTATCAGAGGAAAAAAAACATATTTTGATCCATCTAGCAGAGCAGACTGTGGATTGTCTATTATCTCTTGTTTCTATCTCTTTCTCAGTGATGCTATCCTGGCTGATTTTTCAATATCCACAGGCGAGCCGCTTTTGGCTTGATAGCTAGATTACGACAAAGCTATCTTACTTTACTATTTTAAAACAACATATTCACACTGTTATGACTCCCAATGTTTGTTTTTGAGATATACTTACTTGGACCTATGACCTTGATGCTACAGGGTCACATGGTCCAAAATATATTGTTTTTAAAATGAAATACAATTGAAGTGGCAGACATCACCTTTAACACATGTATTCATTGGAATCTATGCCCATCGCAGGTAATGGCTCAAGATCCTTACTTGCAAGTGGAAAACAACACAGGGATTGTAGTCCAACACGGCGGAGTCACAATCTTAACATCTGCTAACTTAAGCGTCGTCAGTAATCTGGACATCAGAGATCCAGAGGAAGTGATATTTGAAGTGTTCCTCCCGCCGGAAAGTGGAATCCTCCATTTCATCGACGGCGTTGAGCTTGTGACGGAGGCCGATGCTGTTTCCACTTTCACACAAGAGGATTTGATCAGCGGACGTTTGGCTTATCGTCATGACGGCGGACAGGGGATGACGGATGTGTTCAATGTGACCGCCCGGGTCAGGGAGAGGAGCTGGGGTCATGATTCTCACACAGGAAGGTAGGAATGTCGAAGCTACCTGGAAAGAATGACAGAAACGCTTACAA